TGCAGATGCCCACGAGAAGGTGTTGGATCCTCAGGCTGGAATTACAGGTAGCTATGACAAGTGATGTGGATGCTTTCAATCAAACTCTGAGCAGTATGCTTGCTTAACTGAGTCATACATTTCTCCAGCCTTGAATATCTGCCACCTCCTCACAGTGTATGATGCTAATTCTAATTCGGGGGAATCTTCCTTTTATCAATTGCATCCATACTAAGTAGTATAAAACAAGATACAACAGACACAGGGGGAAAATGGTCTTTCTTGTTGGAGCTGGAAAGCTCAGGGGTAGGGTTGTTTGCCTAGTTTTGGTTGCTTGGTTACACCAGTTCTAGGCAATCTTTGTGAATTTGTAAACTGCTTCGTCTGTAGGAAATGTATTCCTCCAGTGCCATCCCTACCTCCTTTTCTACTTGAGTAGCTATATCTACTTAAACATTCCTTAAGACATCTTTTCAGTAGCCTTCTTCTGAGTGCCTCCACAGCAGCTGGGTTTGAAACAGTAAGCAAAGCCTTTTGTAGGTGAACATTTATTTCACTGGCCTCTCCAAAGGCTTCACATTTTGAGAAGTAGACACTGTCATTTTCACCATGCCTGCCAAGAAGCCCACTTCATAATAGGAACTCGATGTTACCAATCAGAAAAACACTTTCTTTGTTTTGCTTTTAAAAGGAAGCTGTGACACTAATGCATACACTGTAATAACTAATCTATAATCTGTATGACTTCAATTTAATTTTCAAACTGGTATGGAAGAACTCAGCAACATATTTTGTCACAGAAAAAAATGTAGCCTATAACTAGTTACCTCCTAAAAAGCCCACTTCACTTACATTATTCAGAGTTATAATAGACTCTTAACTATTAGAATTCAATAACAGGTGGGGGAAATGTATTGAGCATCCTCGCTTTGTAAAAGCAGGAGCTAATGGTTTCTGGCTGTATCCAGGAATAGAAACCCGTCTAGCATACCTTGGTGGCTGAAGACAGAGCTTCTGGTGTGGAGGGGCGGAAGGAAGACTAACATCTCCAGCAGCTGAGTGCCAGAAATAGGGTATTTGCTTCGCTTTATCTTTAAGAATGTAATTCAATTCAGAGACAGTTGGTTTTAATCTCCTTTCTTTTCCTTCAAGGGTCTTAATGAGTCAGATGTCAAAATCCTACTAATGAACTACAGCTTCTTAACACAGAGAAAAAAAATCACCCAGAGAGTTTTTTCTCTTACTTTAAAGAAGTATTCTGTATTTAGCATTAAGCACAAAGACAGATAAGCAAGCAAGCAAACAGAACAAGAAGATGGTTATTAACACCAAGAAAAAAAAGTATCTGTCAGGGAAATGTAGTTAGAGCTGGAATGTGATGTATTTGACTGTCCACTGTGAACAGTGATCAAATGAGAACTTATGACTAATCCACAACTATACCACAGGAAAATGGAAGAGAATGAAGAATTGTCGATGTTTTCTTCCAATTTATGTCCTGCACCTTCATTCCCATAAACACGGCTTTCAAACAGAATACTTAAAAAACAAAACAGTATAAGCATTAAAGTTTAACTCATTTTTTGAAATTTGAGTCCTTTATTCCATCTGAAGATTTGCCACACACAGAGAATGGTAAGGTTTTTCAATTCATGTATGTTACTAAGAGTAAAATTTTAGTTTTCATGTTTAAGTTTACGATTGACTTCAAGTTAATGGTATGTGTGTGGGCATCTATGATTGTTGGTGTGTGTGCTGGTTCACATCTGCAACACCAGCACTCGGGAGGGGCAGACAGCACTTGTGCAAGTGTGAGGTAAGCCTGGAGACAATGTAAGACAACCAACAAAACAGAAAGGGGAGAAGGAGAGAAGGAAGGGAGGGAGGAGGGAGGGAAGGAGGGAGGGAGGGAGGAAAGAAGGGAGGGAGGGAGGGAGGGAGGAAGGGAGGAAAGAAGAAAGGAAGGGAGGGAGGGAAGGACAGAAGGAAGGAAGGAAGGGAGGAAGGAAGGACAAAGACAGACAGAAAGGAAGGAGGCAGGTAGGCAGGCAGACAAGCGGGTATGATTATAAACCTGTGGTAGTTAAGACACTGTAGCTTACGGTGAGATATATAGGTCAAGAAAACAAAGTATGGTTTAGAACAGACCCACACATAGATGACTTAGTCATTTTTTTAAAGATGGTCTTGACCTAGTCAGCAGCAGCTATCAGTTTGTCATGAGCTAGAGTCGTCTAAGAAGGGGGATGTAAACTGAGGAACTGCCTAGGTCAAAATGGTGTATAGACATGCATGTGAGGCAGTGTCAGTCACACGGATGACTGACCACACTATGAGCGGCAACATCCCTAGGCAGGTGGACTTGAGCTGAGTAAGAGCTTGCTGAGGGCTGGAGAGACGGCTCACAAGTTAAGAGTACTGGCTGGTCTTCCAGAGGTCCTGATTCAACTCCCAGGGGAACCAACGCCATTTTCTGACCTCCTCAGCTATCAGGCATATAAGTGGCATACGAACAAACATACATGCAGGCAAAACACTCACACAATGAAATAAAATAAAAATAGAAAACATTAAAGAAAAGATTCCATTTAAAAAGAAAGAAGACAGACAGATAGGATGGATGGAAGGGAGGGAGGAAGGGAAGGAGGAAGCTAACTAGCTGGGCACAGGCCGAGGAGTAAGACAGAAACCTCCATGGTTTCTGATTCCAATTCCAGGTTGCTGCCTTAAGTTCCTGCTCTGACTTTCTTCAAACAGGGATTGGGACCTGAAATGAACCTTCTCCTCCTCATGTTGCTTCCGGTCAGACTGTTTCACCACAACAACAATGATGGAACAAGAAACACGATCAAATATATTGCATCGAAAGATTTTTAGATAAAAAAAAACTACAACTGCCAAAAAATTCAGTGAGGAAAAAAATGGTGTTTTAAACACACAAACAATAGAAAAATAGTGTCTTACACACACACTGGGCACAAATTATGACTCAACAGTGACAGGACAATGGAGCACTGTGACAGAACAATGGAGCACTGTGACAGAGCAGTGGAGCACTGTGACGGGACAATGGAGCACTGTGACGGGACAGTGGAGCACTGTGACAGGACAATGGAGCACTGTGACAGAGCAGTGGAGCACTGTGATGGGACAGTGGAGCACTGTGACAGGACAATGGAGCACTGTGACAGAGCAGTGGAGCACTGTGACGGGACAGTGGAGCACTGTGACAGGACAGTGGAGCACTGTGACAGGACAGTGGAGCACTGTGACGGGACAGTGGAGCACTGTGACGGGACAGTGGAGCACTGTGACGGGACAGTGGAGCACTGTGACAGGACAACAGGACATTGTGGTGGAACAAGGAATGCTGTGATGGGACGATGGAGCATTGTGACCAGACTGTAGTGAACCACAAACAGACACTGGAGCAGTGTGATAGGAACAGTGGAACACTGGGAAAGGACAACAGAGCCCTGTAATGGGACAACAGAGAATAGTAATGGTACAAGGAGCACGGTGATAGACAATAAAGCACCCTGATAACACTGTGATGAGATTATGGAGTACTGTGAAAGGACGTGGAACATTCTGATGAGACAGCAGAGCACTGTGCGAAGACGCTGGAACACACAGAGGTATTACTGGAGCACTGTGATTGGACAGTAGAGGACAGCGTAGACAATGGAGCACTCTGATGAGACAGTAGAGGACAGTGTAGACAATGGAGCACTGTGATTGGACAGTAGAGGACAGTGTAGACAAGGGAGCACTGTGATGGGACAGTAGAGGACAGCGTAGACAAGGGAGCACTGTGATTGAACAGTAGAGGACAGCGTAGACAAGGGAGCGCTGTGATTGGACAGTAGAGGACAGTGTAGACAAGGGAGCACTGTGATTGGACAGTAGAGGACAGTGTAGACAAGGGAGCACTGTGATTGGACAGTAGAGGACAGCGTAGACAAGGGAGCACTGTGATTGGACAGTAGAGGACAGTGTAGACAAGGGAGCACTGTGATTGGACAGTAGAGGACAGCGTAGACAAGGGAGCACTGTGATTGGACAGTAGAGGACAGTGTAGACAAGGGAGCACTGTGATTGGACAGTAGAGGACAGTGTAGACAAGGGAGCACTGTGATTGGACAGTAGAGGACAGTGTAGACAAGGGAGCACTGTGATTGGACAGTAGAGGACAGCGTAGACAAGGGAGCACTGTGATTGGACAGTAGAGGACAGTGTAGACAAGGGAGCACTGTGATTGGACAGTAGAGGACAGCGTAGACAAGGGAGCACTGTGATGGGACAAGGGAGCACTGTGATGGAATAATGGAGCACTATAATGGAACGATACAGCACTGTGATCTGGCAGTGACGCACAGTGGTAGGACAGAGGACACCCTGAGGAGACTGTGAAGAACTTTCTCCTTATATGGAACGTTGTGACGGTACAGGGGAGTAGTGGGAAGGAAGGAGAGCACTGTGAGAACAATGGAACGCTATGATGAAATAGTGCGATGGTGCTCTATCTTCCCAGTGCTGTAACTGTATTACTGTTCCTCATGCATTTTATAACCATAAAATTATTATTATTATTATTATTTTTGGTTTTTATGAGACAGGGTTTCTCTGTATTGTTTTTGAGGCTGTCAGTCCAGCCTGGCCTCGAACTCACAGAGATCCGCCTGCCTCTGCCTCCTGAGTGCTGGGATTAAAGGCGTGTCACCACTGCCCAGCTTGGCTCAACTTTTTAAAAGATTATTTGCAGAAATCATGTGTAGAAACCATGCCAAAAGTTAATAAAGAGGACCATCTGTATATTCCTTGAATAACAAGAAGTACATGCGAAACTACATAAAGTAGTGGTTTCATACTGCTGTCTGTTTTCAATACATTTTGGGATTTCTATAATAATTCAAAAATGGCAAAGACGTGTTGTGGTATATAAGTAACCTACTGGGTTAATTAAAACATACTGAAAACTTTTTATGAAGACAAATACATAATGACCCAATAAGGAGTACCTTGGCAATTGCGGTCTGTTTGAACATGCATGTTATCAACCCCATAACCGTCTCCATGGCACCTGAATTTGGAGCTCTCATTAATTTTTGCCATTCTTCAAAGCTGGCATTCAGTTCCTATGTGGGAAGGAATAACATTGCTTAAGAATACAGCATCAAGAACAGAACAATTAATTCAGTCATTCATCAGGTCCTACTTCCCTCTTCTCTGTGTAGAAACTTATAAAAAGAAAGTTCCCATAGATACCAATGCGCTCATTTAAAACCACAATGCAGAGACCAGTCACATGTCTATGCTAATGAGAGAAGCCAGTGACAAGCTATGTCACACCAGAATTCAAATGATTGAAACTTCCTCTTGAAATAGTGTATGAAGTGAAAAAGATCTGAACACATAAGACAATAGGGTGTTGGACTGGAGAGATGGCTCACTCAGCCGTTAAAGGCCAGGCTCACAACCAAAAATATAAGAAAATAGGGTGGTGAAATTTATTTTTGTAGTAAGATATATTATTTAAACAAGCATAAGGATGAAAGAAGTATTACTTATATAAAACATAATATAATCATAAATTAATTCTTCATCTCATTATTCTCTGTAATGCTAAAATAGCAGATAAATTTGTATTTGAGAAATGCCATAGTATCCAATGTTTCTTAGATATTTATTTAACTTCTAAAATGTAACAATGAAAACCTTCATATTCACTCAGTCACATCCAGAGACTGTACAGGTACTGTGCTCCCCAAAAGTAAATCTAGATGAGGATCAGGTAAAATAAACATTTGTCTTTCAGATATGTTAATATTACATCCTACCACATTATCACAGGGTTTCAGATTTCAAGAACAGAGTTATATTCAAGTTATTCTACAGTAAAGCTTAAATTAAAAAAAAACCTTCATGTGTATGATGTGTGTGTCTCTGTGTGCACATGCATGCATGCATTCATGCACTCTATGGCATATGTTTGTGTGTGGGGATCTCACATCCCCCCCTCATTTGAGATAGGGTCTCCTACTGTTCACTGCTATGGCCTGAAAGCTTCTGCGGACTCTGATGTCTCGGCTTCCATTTCATTTCAGCAGCACTGGAATTGCAGATGCAACTATTATGGCACCAGTTTCACCTATAGAGCCACTGCCCCAGCCCCAGCTTATGTATGTGTGCGTGTGTGTGTGTGCATGTGTGCATGTATGTGTGTGTGTGTGTGTGCGTGTGTGTGTGTATGTGTCTCCATAGAACATGAAACAGAGTATCTCTTACTAATTAATTACTGGGGCTTACATTATAGACATCATGAATCCTTAATACTAAATAGTTTTCAAATCATAGTGCTTTTTTCTATATTCAGTGGAAGAGTTTTGAATCACAAGGTGCTGACAGTATGCTGTCCAAATTGGACAAGCATGACACAAAAGAAAGTAACTACTGAACTTTGCAAAAGACAAGGTAGGACAGTACTGCTACACAAGCAAGTCTGCTAGACATGCTAGGCCTTAGGCCAGAGTTCCATGCCCCAACATTGCAGGGAACTTTGGGTGCCTGTCCAGACCGCCTGATGGCCCTGTCATTAGGTAACATTTCATCCTTCTGGGGTCTTTGATGGAGTCGAAGACGAAATAGTTAAGCTTATAGTTTTCCTTATTTATGATAGAAAGCAAATTATATATAAAACTTAAGATTCATATAGATAGTATAGATAATGGAGTATTCTCTCTGATTTTGCCAAATGCAAATGTGATTCTTACTTGATAACTGTTTTTTGTATATATAATTTTACTATGCTAACATTAAAACCTTCCTATTAAATTAGACAAACATGGGGAAATGACTTGAATAATTCTTTTGTACACTGTACAGATGTGTTGCTCTAATTGTTAATAAAAAGCTGATTGGTTGGTAGCTGGGCAGGCGGAGAGTGGGCAATACGGCTGAGACACACAGAATGGTGGGATGAGGAATGTGGAGTCAGAAGAGAGTCTCAAAGACATGCAGAGAAACCAGATGGGCATGCCATACTGAGAAAAGGTACCGAGCCAAGTGGCAGAGCATAGAAAATATGGGTTAATTTAAGTGTAAGAATTAGCTAGGAACAATCCGGAACTAATGGCTGAGCATTTGTAATTAATACTAAGACTCTGTGTCAGTTATTTGGGAACTGGTGGTTCGGTCCAGACAGGAAAACTCCATTTACAACTAACAGCTGTATCTGTTATATATTTGATAATTAAAATTAAAATCTTTTTGTGCTTTTCCTGAAATGATACAAAACCAATGGACACTCTACTAATCAAACCTGTTTTAAGAAAGCAGAGCTCTTGGACCCCAGACCGACAGTGGGGAGGCCAGCATGGGACTGATCTGGACCCCCCAAATGTGAGTGTCAGCGAGAAGGCCTGGGCAACCTATGGGGCCCTGAGCTGTGGATCAGTGTCTATCCCTGGTATACAAACAGTCATCATGTGCCTATAGCACAAAGAGGGATGCTCTCTCAGCCTGGACTCTTAGGGGAGTGCCTGGACCCTACCCAGAGTGAAATGACAGACTCTAAATATCCCCTATGTAGAAGGATTTGGCAATAGGGTGGGGGGGTTGGGGGGAAGGGGAGTGCGGGAGGAGGGGAGGGAGAGGGACCTGGGATTGACATGTAAAACAAGCTATTTAAAATTAAAATAAAAAATGATTAAAAAAGAAAGCATGCTTTCCTGTGAAGCATGATATACAATCTTTAATAGCAAAATTCATAATGTTTAAAGTAAGACTCTCAAGTGAATATAGGCTCTCACCTTGACAGCTACTGGTGGAAGGTCAAATGGAATACGCTGTCTGACTTTAGGAGGTAGCTGGCTTAAAACTTCACTCTTTAATCTTCTGATCATTATGTTGCTTAGTAGCTGGTGAAGTTCACCAAGGTTTGATGCCCCTCTACAATCCCATTGACGCCTTTTACCAAAGTATCTGTTAAGATAAAAAGACAAGCAGCAAAGTTGAATGCTAGAGCAGGAAATCCATGCATGAAGTATATCCTTCCTTTTAATAAAAAGGTGCTGTTTCCTGCTATTTCCAAATGAAAACCAGTTTCAAAAAGCTAATCTAAGGGGCTGAAGAGATGGTTCCAGGGTTAAGATGGCAACTGCTCTTGCAGTGGACAGTCTCCAGCACTCACAACAGGTGGTTCACATTTGTCACTCAAGCTCCAGGGATCTGATGGCCTCTGAGGGCATCTCTCTGTCTCTCTCTCTCTCTCAAACACACACACACACACACACACACACACACACACGCACGCACGCACGCACGCACACACACACACACGCACGCACTCACACACACACACTTTAAAAATAAATCTTAAAAAAATATCCTAAGTATATAATTCTCACAATTGTAATTTAGGACTCAAGGGGCTTCTGCAGGGAGATAACCATGAATGTATACTAGGCAGTCATTCTACCAACTGAGCTACACCCAATCTGATATATTTTCATGCCACTGAAATATGTTGCTTCGTTTTTTGTTTTTTTTTTTTTTCTTTTGGTTTTTTGAGACAGGGTTTCTGTGTAACAATCCTGGCTGTCTGTCCTGGAACTCTGTCGGCCAGGCTGGCTTTAAACTCAATGAGATCTGTCTGCTTCTGCCTCCCGCGTGCTGGGATAAAAGGCGTGTGCCACCACCGCCCAGCAAAATGTTGCTTCCTTTAATGTTTGCATACTCATACTTAAAGATTTGTGTACACATTAAACTGGGAAAATGCTGGGCAGTGGCAGTGCATGCTTTTATGGGGAGGCAGAGGCAGGAGGATCTCTGAGTTCCAGGCCAGCCTGGTCTACAGGGCAAGTTCCAGGACAGCCAGGGCTACACAAAGAAACCCTGTCTTGAAAACAAAACAAACAAAACGAAGCAAAACACAGGGAAAATGCTTATCAATACCTGATTCTGTCATGTATTTTTCCATTCACCATACTAGGTACTTTTGACCACATCATTAACAAAAGAAACCTAAGCTGCCAAACTAACAACACAGAAAGAAGTGGTTGGAAGGACTCTTTAATTTTGTTTTTAGAATGAAATGTCTGAATTAAAATGGAATGTTAAGCCACACTATCTGAAGGTTCATGGGATAAGACTGTATACAGGCAGGCACAGATCACCATAAAGGTCTTATCAGCTTCCTGCAGAGACCAATGTCTGTGTTTCCAAGTGCAGACATCTGAGCTTTTTTTTTTTTTTTTTTTTTCCTCATACTAGAGATTGAACCTAGGACTTTACACATGCTCAGCAAGTTGATTCTCAGCCTGAAGTTTGGGCAATCTACTCTCAGAATGCCACAGTACAGTGTTAAGCATCACGGGGAGGCCTCTCAACCCTCCCTGGAGACTAAGCATCACAGAAGGAAGCATGACCAATTGCTTCCTGGGATTCTACCTCAAGCCCACTGTAAGCAGTGTGCTTGGCATGAAGCAGGGATGACCAAAAGCATTTCTCACTGCAATCTACCTCCACTTCACCTCTTTTCAGCAGATGCTAGAAGCTAGTGGTGACACTCACTCTAAAGAACACTGGAAGCTGGGAAACAGGGCGGGGTGGATCTGGGAGGAGTTAGGGGGAGAAAAGGGGAGGTGTATATGATCATAATGCATTGTATGCACATGTAAAACTCCCCAAAACCGGCATTGTAATGTAAAAAATAAATCAATAAAACAGACTTCAAAAAACTCCCAAAGAATAAAAATATTCTACTAAAGAAAAGAGGCTGGAGCATGGGAATGGCTGCACCCCCTAAACAATCCCACCAATTAAGAGCAGAGTCAGGCTTATTTCTGTGAGTTTGAGACCAGCTGGGTGTGTGTCAGAAGTTCCAGGAAAGTAAGGGCTGCAGAGTGAGACCCTGTCTTAAAGCAAAAGAATTCCTGACCTCATATTTGGGACGCAAAGGGAAGGGCAGAGCTAGAAGAGCCCCCACCCACCACCCACTGATTACTTGCCATTAGATTTGATAGTGATTGTACATAACTTCTGTAAAAATCACATTATGTATTCATTTGGGAGGGGCATATGCCATGGTACAAGTGTAGAGTCCAGAGAACTGTGTGGGAGGCAGTTCTCTCCTTGCACCAGGTGGATCCTGAGGCTCAAAGTCAGGTCATCAGGCTTGGCAGCAAGCACCTTCACCGTATGAGTCTGCTTGCCAGCCCTAGATGACTATTCCTGTGCAACCAACATACTGTCATGAATATCTGTTCAGCAGAGCCTTCTAGCCAATTTTTCTTTTTAATGTTTATGTTATTCTGGGTCCCTTACAATTCCATACAAAATGAAGCCTGGTGTGGTGGCACACACCTTAAATCCCAGCAGTCTAGAGGCAGAGGCAGGCAGATCTCTGAGTTCAAGGCCAGCCTGGTCCACAGACTGAACTCCAGGGCAGCCAGGCTACACAGAGAAACCCTATCTCAAAATAAAACAAAACCAACCAGACAAAAATCCACACAAAATCAACTTGTAAAAGACAGCAGTCCCATTGCCAAGGCAGAGGTAGGCTTACTGCAATCTTGGCACACCTGGTCTACTAGTGAGTTCTAGCCTAGGCAGGGGAACAGAGACTCGCCTCAAAAAGTAAAGCAAAGTAAAATAGAGGCAACAGAGTCTGCAGGGAAAGGAAACTGACTGGATCTGGATATTGGCAGGAAGGTATAGATGGTAACTAGACCCTCAGGATATTTTACTACTTTTAGTACATGGGTCACATGCAGAAGTCAGAGGTCACCTTTTGGGAGTTGGTTCTCTCCTTCTACTTTCATCTATGTTCTGGGGGTCAAACCCAGATTGTTAAGATTGTGTGGCACACACTTTACACACTTATCCCATAAGTTTATAGGTGGATTTAAAAAAATAAAACCCAGCTTGGAAACACTATTTTGTACCAAGTGTTTAATCAATTTTATGAGAGTAAATGGAAATTTAACTAACTAAGGGAAGTGAGCTCTCAGTTTATTGTCCTAAAATTTCATTCTTCCAATGTATACTTCTGGATTAATAATCATGCAGTTTATCTCCTTGCTCTAATTAACACCTTTGCTTATCATTTACCTTTGATGTTAAGAGACACTGTTAATACATCTTGTGCTCCAGACAACATGATTACAGATGTTCTCCCCCTCACCGATGAAGCTTCTTTTTGCAACAGACAGAAACCATTAGAGGAAGCCAGATTGGTGAAAATGCAGAGAATAATTGACTATGGGGTTCCCAGCCACAGTTGATATACTTACACTATAACCACAACACCTAAGAGGGCTTGTACATCATACCATGATGTGGGTACTTAAGAGTATATATCTGATATATCAGTATATACCTATAAACATAAACAATTGGAGCTAGAGAGACAGCTCAGCAGTTAAGACTACAGATTGTTTCTCTAAGACCAGTGTTTGGTTGCTAGAACCCACGGTGGGCAGCTCATAACTACCTGTAACTCCAGCTCCAGGGGATCTGAAGCCCTCTCCTGGCCTCTGAGGTCACTACACTTGTGTACAAAACAATACACAGATACACATATACACATAATTAAAAATAAAGTTATAAAAACAAAAATTTCGTATGTATGGAGCACCATGTACAAATACCACTTTTACTACTTACTTCTAGCCACAAAGGGTGATGGCTACAAACAGCAGTATGCAACAGTGCATAAAGAAAAATGTATGGCCAAGGTGTCTGCACTAACCTCTGTAGGTCTTCATGTACATGAAAAACTGTCCTTATAGCAATCATGGTAAAGTATAGCCAAGGTGTCTGCACTAACCTCTATAGACCTTCATGTACGTGAAGGACTGTCCTTATAGCAATCATGGTAAAGTCCCTCAAAAAAGGAAAGACCACACTTACACCAACCACAGAAACTCTTCATGCAAATGAAGAATTGCCTCATTCCCAGGCCTTCTGCTGAGTCAGCAGGGAACCATATATACAGTTTTCTGAAGCCCCCCACCCAGTACTTCTCCTCTTTCCCCTTTCTTCCCCCTCTCTTCCTGCCTCCTTCTCTCCTTCCTTCCTTATGACTTTTTAAAAATATTTTTTGTGGGGGGTATTTCAAGACAGAGTTTCTCTGTCCTAGCTGTTTTGAATTTTTTTTTTTTTTACTTTTTAAAGACAGGGTCTCATATAGCCCAGGGTGACCTCAAGATCAGTATCAAGTGCTGAGATTACAGGGGTACCCCATCAAGACTAGCTTCAGAAACTAATATACACTGAATTTTTCTAGAAATTGTAAATAATGCTAACTAAAAGGGATAGTCTACATTATTTTGTTGGAAATTCAACCCAGAATACTTTGCCAATGTGGAAAACCATGCTGTTGATGCCCCCCCAAACATTCTGGTGGCTAAGCTGTAATACATATAACTGTGATTTCTTAAGTACCCTTTGAAAATATCAGTGGAGTACTGGCTAACATCCAAATACAGCTGTGGTGTACTGGCTACCGTCTGAGCACAGCTGTGGTGTACTGGCCACCATCACAGCTGTGATATATTAGCTTCCATATGAACGGCAGTATCCACAGTTCTAAATATACCAAATTTTTATCAGTTTTATGACTTACATTTCTCTAGCTTTATAAACCTAGAATTTATAGATGTACAAACCAGTTTAACTTCAGAAATTACCCTTTGGTGGCATATAAAAGTACATATATCACAATTGATGAAGTTTCAGATTTTATATAAACGTAAATATAAACTTTTTTTTACACTCATTTAAAATTGTGTTTTAATGTAGTCTTTGCCTACTTACATATTAAAGTACAAGTTTACCACTACCTTATTTTCTCCCTACATTATGCTGGATTCTTTATTTGAAATTACATGTGCTATATATGGTTATGCTATGAATTTCCTTCCAGTATTCAAAGGGAGTACTGAATATTCATTATGAAAGTGGGCATTAGGACAGTAGAG